AGTGATGGAGCTCTCCATACAAGTGATGAAAGTAATGATGAAAATGAGTGCCTCGACAAATATTTGCTTACAAAGGATGTTTATACGGCTTTAGCCTTATATAATAAATCTAGCAGGTACTTCATCACTTTAATTGTAAAATAGCTTATTTTTTATCTTTACTTGATCCATTTATTCTACACATCTATCAATGCAGTTCTACCCAATGGTCCTTTCCTCATCGAAGCAAAGCTGCCAAGCGTTTTAATTATTTAGTTCACTGGGGCGTAGATCCCGAGAGCCTAATACCTGAACGAATATTGGATATTAGCGATGAATTTGTCCCTGATCAGTTTGAAGCTAGACACGGTTGTCTTGATATCGATAAGGTCCTCAACGAAGCTAAGACCTCTTCTGATACTATAGTTCCCCATCACGAAATTTTGGTGCAGTGGTCACAGCTAGGTATCTCTCAGGTAATCTTCATTGAAAATTTTACTCACCAATATTTTTCATTCTAAATTAACTTTACCCACAACCTGACCTCTAGGCCACTTGGGAAACGGTGGAGGTTGATTCGGCTTATCTCGAAGCTCTGCCTCGAACACGTTTCGTTGATTGCCTTGATCCTTGTGGCCGCCGCTTGCTTCCTCGTACTCTACGTCGTCGCCTTATTAATTTAACCCACCTATTTTGTGTGCAACGAGCTGTTATGCTGTGTGATGCCCTGGGTACATGTGGAAAGTCACGAAAAGATCTTCACGCCCAGGGCGCTAGTAAGCCTAGAAAAGAAAAAAACTGGAGGGATGTGTGGCATGGTGATGAACAACCGAAATACATTGCTGGTGGTTCTTCTGCTCGACTGCATCCATACCAAACGGAAGGTGTACGTTGGCTATGGCAAGCTTATCACAAGCGAACTGGTGTAATTCTCGGTGATGAGATGGGCCTGGGGAAGACTGTTCAAGTCATTGTATTATTTTACTCACTCTGGAAAGAGGTACATATCTATCAAATTGAGTATATTTTTCTTCCAAAAATTCAAGTTATTATCATTTTATTGATGTTCCTCTAATAAAACGTGTGCGATTTGCCTGGGGATGTGCCAAGCATCCATGAAACATTTTATAGATAGAGTGGTCTTACCAGACGATGCAAGTTATTTAATAGGAATCTATTCTTATCATAAATTATATATATATATGTTTGTACTGCGTATGTGTGTGTTTAAGAATGCGTAAATATTCTTTTATTCTAGCTCGGCGATATCGGTCCCTTTCTGGTTGTAGCTCCACTCTCGACTCTAGAGAATTGGGAACGAGAATTTCAGCTTTGGGCGCCTCAGCTCCGAGTTGAAGTATATAGTGGAGACAAACTAACACGTGCCACTATCCGGTAATTTTTTAATCGTATTTTAACTAGGTTTTATACCTCTCTGGTTTAAGAACTAATAATCTTTCCATAGTTGGGTTATAATTCTGCTCATAATTAGATTAACCTTGAAAACCACCCGATCTTCTATGCTTCCATCGTTGTATCATCGTGAAACTCATTTCAAATTGTTTGGAGTCTATGTATAGTTAATATTTAATCATTTGCAATTTTTAAATAGTGGCTTGTATCATTTTCACCATTTATATACTTACTAAGCTTTGCATGAATTATATAACTACCATTTTTAAAGGGCTGTGCTTTCGTCTCTTTTGTTAAAATATTATTGTTGCATGGATAAGAAGAACCTCATTTTAGCTTTGGTTGTCCCTCACTTGTAAATGCGAATGTTCTGCTTTGCATAGACACTCACGTAAATTTACATATGGATATCGCTCGACTGCAACTAGATACTTAAAATCTAGTGGTAGAAAATAATCCTGGTTTGTGTTATTGGAAGCATTCATTGAATAACTACTCTGCTTTATCATTATTAATGGTGGGTGTACGAATGTATTTATTCTGAATGTGTTAAAGGGATAGATACATTGATTTGAGGCAAGCATGTCTATCTATCTGTCTTTTCGAGGATAAGATAAAATCATGAGAATGGCAGCTCTCAAAATCTTCGTTATCCGGGATTCCATCATATATGTCTACTTTTATTGTCTTTTGAAATACGTACGAAGTCATCCTGATGATTCTCCTGAGACTAAGTGGATTGTGGCCCTCTGTTTACAAAGAGCCTCCCTTATTTGAAGTTACATAAGACAGCCAGTGGTCTTGGAAATTGTTCCGGAAGATCGGATCTAAACATCAATTTCGCATTCACTCATATACGTCGAGTATATCTGCAGATGCATCCGAAATTTTTTGGACAATGCTTGAGACATGCAGATGATTCCAAGTGTCTCTGTTCTCCAAATAAGGAGCATTCCCAACATACATATATTTTGTAGAGTCCTCACATAATAGCTGCTTTATTTTTCAGAATTTCTCCCTTCTACTTTCTATCCCTTTTTATTTAAGTTCCATTTAACCTTTCTTTGAATATTTTTATTTTTTTAGTGAGTACATGCTTCGAATG